GGTTAGTGGAGTTTGTAACCTGAAGCGTTTGTAACCCGAGGTACCACTTTGAAGTTGTTTCCTGATGGACTAACACAAAGGCTTGCAAATTTGGTGTAAAGCCAACCAGTTACTTGCTGTGCAATCCTATATATAGAAGTAAGTCCACTTGGCAATTATTCCCAGTTAAGTTGGTATGTGTCTGCAGTCACAAAATACATTTTTAAAACTAGCATGTCAGGAATTAAAATAAGCTAAATAAAAATAAAAGTGGCCAGGGTTCAAATAATTCCTTGATGGCCGAAGTACGTTTTAACCAACCATGTGAAATTCAGTAGGCTACTTCATTGTCCCTTCAGAGAGCTCTTCATAGTATGGCTATTTCCACAAGAAAAAAAAAAGCTCTTTATAGAAGCAGCCAACCTGCAGGCATGATGAAGGGGATAATCTCACAGAACTCTGTAATGTAATGGAACACACACTGAGAGAAGAAAAGTTTGCTTCCCCCATTTTTACCTGGACTAATTTCCTGTTTGGGTTTTCCTATATTCTGGATCAGCCACAGTTGGTAGGGCAAGGCTGCTTACCTGATCTCCCATCTTCCATTTCACATTTGTGCTGTGCTGACTTACTGCCCTCCCTATCCCTGTCTGATATGGTGCAGTGAGTAAATAAATAAAAGTGGTAGCACATGAAGCTTCTCCAATTGGAAGTGTATAGATGTGAGAAGGAGCTCCCTAAGTTTTACTGGAACCATAGCTGTCAACCTTCCCTTTATTTGCGGGAAAATCCCTTATTCCAGTGCCGCTTCCCGCTGCTTCCTGCTACTATCCCGGATTGTTAGATATCCTGTAGACTGTCCCCGGGACAGGTGAGGCTGCTGATCCCTTATTTTCAAATCTGAAAGTTGACATCTATGACTGGAACCAGTTAGGAATTTAAAGATAAAAAGTCGAACCTTGCAAAGCAAAACACCTGCTTATTAACTGAGATTGAGGGATATTAGTGCTGTCAGTTCCTGACTGAAGCCAAGATGCCATACTCGTAACCAATTTTCAAGGGCAACCCTACAGATAGTCAGATTGGGAGGTTACCAGGAAAATCTACTAAGCATATCCTATTTTGTAGGGTTGACTTTTTCCCATGTTTGGCCACTGTGTGGCCCCCTCCACCTACAAATGTGGATATTTGTTGTTTATTCTCTGCTTTATTTATCTAGAATATATTTGAGTGCTATATATTTTTTAATTTAAAAAGTAAGGAAGAAAAAAGGAGAGCTGAATATGTACAAGACAATTTATAGAAATATATAGAGTATCATTCCCTTAAGGCATAGTACACGTGTGTGTGTGTGTGTGTCTGTGTGTGTAGGTGTATCTGTAAAAACACACTAAACAGCCTTGAAGTTCTTTTAAAGGCATCCCATGTGGGTGGCCATCATTGCCTCCACTGTGGGAGCAAGTTACATAACTTAATTATGCACTGCGTGAAGAAGTACTTTCCTTTAATTGTCCTGAATCTGTGATCTACACATTGCAGCCCTAAATTAACCCAATTTTTCTGCATAATTGGGAAGAAAGACCCAGGAAGAATCCAATGGTGGCTAATCCATGGGCCTCCAGTTATTGCTGGAATTCAAGTCCCATTTACTTACTTACTTACTTAC